GCCGTCCATAGACGGTGAAGATACAAGCATTGAAAAATCAATAACAAGCGTCAAAAATCAAATATCCCCTAAAATCTTAACTTAATTAGTAATATATATAATGCTAGTCTTTGTGGTCATGATGTTACTGTGTTAATAATATACATGAAAAATTTCTCAATTCTGATTGGCTAAGCAGTGCAATATTTTCGAAATACAGTGCCAAAAAATGAAATACATTGCAAATTTTTTAATCCTATTTTTCAAGTTAGTCTTAATTTTCTTAATTTCTAAATGTGACTTACGCACGTGAATGCATAAATTCTTCAAGTATATTATTAATAAGTAATAGTTTGGTTCCTTATGCAATTTGCAATTTGATCACGTCGGTTGCAACTTGCTCAGAGCATGGATAATAAAATAAATAATAATAATAAAATAAATTTATTTTATCCATGCTCAGAGTAATCTCGCAATTAAAATTGCAGTATTCCCAACAATACTGCAATATTCAGGGGAACTGCAGAACATCCGGTTTGACTGTAACATGACAATAGCAACATACACTCGAAAAACTCACTCGTGCATGTTTTTTTCCAAATTGCACTCAAAACCATATACAATTTTTAAAATTTATTATTAACAAGTAATAGTTTGGTTTCTTATGCAATTTGAAAAGATAGATGAGCCATGTGCACATGTATCTGCGCAAAAGTGGAGTCACGTTTTGTACTTTCTTGCAAGAAACTGATGATAAGCCAAAATGGAAAATACAATACAGAGTAAAGCCCAACATAAAAGAACCAGTGAGTTAAGAAACCACCAGCCTGAAATTTGGGCAATTAAGCACTCAAAATACAAGTTTTTTTTTATATTTAGATATGTGTAAAAAGAACCACATTAATGTCTTAGCAACAACATTCCCTATTAATGTGTAGAATAGAAAAAAGTATAGTGTGAAGTAAGATTATATAAGAACTACTTCAGCCTGAAGTCAAAACTTACTGGGTTTTTTATTGGGGCTTTACTGTAACCACAATAACACCTAAATAACACTAAACTTTGCTCGTTCACTAGTAGCAAAAAAGAACTAATCAAACACTCTAAACAAATTAATTGGTTCTTCTTTGCTACTAGTAACCAATCAAAGACTTTGTTTACAAATCTGGTTTTGAATTTCAACTTGCAATTTGATCACGTTGGTTGCAACTTGCTCAGAGCATGGATAATAAAATAATAATAATAAAATAAATTTATTTTATTGTCCATGCTCAGAGTAATCTCGCAATTAAAATTGCAATATTCCCAACAATATTGCAATATTCAGGGGAACTGCAGAACATCCGGTTTGACTGTAACACGACAACAGCAACATACACGAGAAAAACTCACTCGTGCATGTTTTTTTCCAAATTGCACTCAAAACCATATACAATTTTTTTGAAAATATATAGTTCTACTGATTTTTAATGCTATACTTTATGTGATTGTACAATGGTCAATGCAATAAAATATTATTTCAAGAATTTGCATCGTTAAATTATCTGGATATTTATTATATGCTGACAAAGACAAGATAGCTAGTATATTTAAATCAAAGAGATTATACCAGATAAATTATTCTTTGTTACTTTTATACGATCGCTATAATTTATATGTAGCAGTAAGACTTTTTGACGGCCTTTTCACGGGTTTTGGTGGTAATTAGTATGACCGACATAGTGGAATGCACCTGGACCTGCTATTTTACTCTGTATAATGCCAGGCAATTCAGGTTTGTTATAACTTTTTAATTTCTGCAATTTGTGTATACAGGTGCTGGCAAAATTACAGCCTTCATTGTACATTTTCCTTCAAGATTCTCATTACTTCTGGCATAGTTGGTCTCGACGCTGGCTTGGCATCTTTGCAATGCCTTCCTAAGGATTCCAGACAGGCTTTTGGCAATTTTTTTCCAATGGTATATATGATTACCCCAAACAAAAAAAACATCACTGGATGTACTCACATGCTGACCTCGCAAAACCTCTGTGGCAATATGGTTGTAAAAAGAAGTGTACTTTCGAGCTGTTGGCCTAGAAATTAAGCAAGCCTTACCAAAGTCTATCAGAAAACCTTTGACTTGACATCACAGTGCAAAAAACCCTTGATGTGAACATGAAAAAGAGCTTCTGCAATGTCAAGTAAAACTGAAATCCACTCATTTGTGGAAAGTAACAAATGTTTTGGCATGGTTTGGTGCAACAACCTATCAATTGTTACTGATTCCATATCCTCATCACCAACAAACTGCATAACTAAAGAGAAAGGTTTTTCTTCAATTTGGACACCTAATAAGTGTGGAATAGATGCATGAGTTAGTGTATTCATACATTGTGCCTCATTCATAACTGCTTTTAAATCAGATGTTGGCAGCTTCTTCTCAACAACAGTAATCCCAAATCTCTTAAACGTTTTAAGAAAACAATCGCCATAGGTTCCACAGCCAACAGGAATAGTAGCCGAGTTATTTCCTTCCAATGGCAACAACTCACATGGCCTAATTTGTTTTACTGAAGCGGTACTCATTTTGGTTAGTGAGCCATTACCAGTTGCAGCCGTATCCATTGAAAACTATAACATTAGTAATATAATTAAATTTCTACTTGAAAATTAATGTAGCCATCAAATAGTAAATCTGGTATTGTACATCTAATCCCTCTCGATACTTATTGATATATAAGTTATTATGTGGTGGTGAGTACAATACATGCTTCCAGAAAGTACATCGTCTTGGCTATAGGGCCATGTTTTCATGGTTGAGATGCTAGGTTTTGCATCATATACCTGAAAACGAGATTCTATAGCCAATGATGTTCTGTACATTCCGGAAGGGTGTATCAAGGTATAACAGTGCTAGTGATTTTTTTTCTGTGTTGGTGTAGTGTACTCAGGTGAATATGATATTTGTGGTGTTACTCTGAGTGTATATCCACACCGGGCGAGCTTGAAAAATATGCCCGGCCACGGTGGGATTCGAACCTACGACCTTTGGAATACTGGCCCAATGCTCTTCCAACTGAGCTACGCGGTCAGGACGGTTCGAGTAAGTGATATTTCGGAACTGAATCTAGCTCCTTCGATACCAATGTATTCTAGTAATATGAATTTTTTGAAAAAAATCATATTACTAGAATACATTGGTATCGAAGGAACTAGATTCAGTTCCGAAATATCACTTACTCGAACCGTCCTGACTGCGTAGCTCAGTTGGAAGAGCATTGGGCTAGTATTCCAAAGGTCGTAGGTTCGAATCGCCGTGGCCGGGGCATATTTTTCAATCGAGTGGCCGGGCATATTTTTCAAGCTCGCCCGGTGTGGATATACACTCAGAGTAACATCACAAATATTATAACTATATGATTGTTTCGGTTTGTATAATGTTCGACAACACTTGACCCCCCGTTCGAAAGGTTATTTTGTGAGGATTACAATGGTGGGTTTTGTTTTAAAGGGGGGTAAATACTCGCCGCAATATTTACATTTGAAAAATTGAATTGTAATGTAATGCGAAACTACTTGTCGACAAGGAGTTAAATAAACTTGCTAATCAACTGACATTTTCACGATGTTGGAAGAAATAATCGGTTGTTTTTTGTCATTGTTTTCTGCCTTAACTTTGGATCCGCCACGACTTTCTCGGCGAGAAATGAATGACAGTACAATTCCATCGAAACAACGAACACGCTATACATGGGGTGATAAAATTCACAGAGAGTATGTCTCGTTTGAAGAAGATAATCTACCATCAAAAACAGAGTATGTACAACTAGGGTATGAACTGCGAAACAAGCCTAGTTATACCCAGTCATTACCATAGCCGTACTGCTTTTGGCACTTATAGGGATGGCTCTTATATATTTTGATTTAAGAACAGTTGATTTGTGTTTGCAATGGGAGGCTAAAAACTACATTCTCTCATTTGATGTTAGGAGAATAAGATTAATCGGCAAAGTATTTCAGAAAGTGATATTGTATCTCTCGTTTCCCTTGTCTTTGATTGTTTTATTTGGTTGGAGCGAAGTTAAGCGTCATTATTCCACAACTATCTTAGTAGACCAATTGGCTGGTTTATTTAATACATTATATCTAAGTTTTTTACTCGTATATGGTTGGTATTGATGATACCAGTCTAATTAAAGTGTACCACCTAGTGTGCCACCTACGCAGGAAGTTTCACATTAGGTCAATAATGACGTAATTTTATGTAATACCTAGTTTCTGATTGGCTGAAACTTACATGGTATCAGCTCCAATGCTGAATTATATCGCACTTATCACCTAATTCGAAGCATTTGGCTCATAAAAACAGCGACATTTGAATCAAATATTAAAGTTCGACATCTATTCTATCCATTCCATATTGGTTCACATGTAATTAATAAAATAATTAACCTGATATATTTGCCGGTTGACGGGCCATGTATTTCCGTTTCCGCATTTCTGATCTAAGATCTAGACATCATGCGTGCATAACTACATTCTATATGTGACTTTCAATAAAGAGGTAACTTGGTCAAATAAACTTTGGCAATCAATTGATATTTTCACAATGTTGGAAGAAATAATCGCTTGTTTTTTGTCATTGTTTTCTGCCTTAACTTTGGATGCGCCACGACTTTCTCGGCGAGAAATGAACGACAGTACAAGTCCATCGGAGCAACGAACACACAATACATGGGAGGATAAAATTCACAGAGAATACGTCTCGTTTGAAGAAGATAATCTACCATCAGAAACAGAGTATGTACAACTAGGGTATGAACTGCGAAACAGGCCTACTTATATCCAGTCATTACTCAGAAGTTTGAAGGCGAACTTTACCATAACCTTAGCTGTACTGCCTTTGACACTTATAGGGATGGCTCTTATATATTTTGATTTAAGAACACTTGATTTATGTTCCCAATGGGAGGATAAAAACTACACTATTTCCTTCGATGTTAGGAGAATGAGATTACTCGGCAAAGGAGTTGCGAGTGTGATAACGTATCTCTGGTTTCCCTTGTCTTTGATTGTTTTATTTGGTTGGAGCGAATTTAAGCGTCATTATTCTTCAACTATCCTAGTAGGCCAACTGGCTGGTTTATTTAATACATTATATTTAACTTTTTTACTCCTATATGGTATTGATGATACCAGTCCAATCAACAGTTACTACGTTCCAGCAATTTTAATATTTGCCGTCGCTACTCTCTGGGAATCTGCAATTGTGGTGCGCAATATTCGACAAAAGCATCAAACTGTATCCTACTCAGGTCGTCATATTTTCTCGGTTCTTGCAGTGCCGGTATTGAGCACCTTGGCAATGTCATTGTTTTACAGATATGCGGTTGTTAAGTGGTTTAATTCCCTCGATAATGTGTTGTATAAATTCATATTGGCCATCTTGACACCGACCTTAGCACTGATGCCGACTGCTGTATGTAGGCATATGGCATTATGGCGAACTTCAGAGATTATCGAGCCAGAACGAAGCTTTGCGTTGGTTTATTTCATAAGGGCAGCATTCATTACTTTGTATCGTATCATGCAAGCAAACTTTAAGAATATCTCGCTGTTTGTCGGGCTCTCTCTTCTATCGGGTGTCTCGAGCTTACTTAAAACAGCGACTGTCGGTATTCGTGAGAAAGTATGGGCGCGAGTTATCAGGTTTCTGAACAGAACATGCTGTACAAGACTTCACCATTTGCCTGGAAACACACCACATCATAGGCGGTTTAAAGCAGACACCGAGATACAAAATATACTTTTTGAGAACAATTCACTGATTCTAAGCCAATCCTACATCGTTTTATATACGATTACAAACTTTCAGCTCTCTGATTGGTCTGTCGTGAAGTCATCTTTAACGAGAATTGCTATTGGATTAGTGATTGAATTCGTGTTCAACTTTTTGTCTACTTTTATTCGCATACATTGGCATAATATTCCCGTAACGCGAGTGTATTCGAAGTACTGGAAACGACATGTGTTTGCTAACATTATCGTTGTTGCAGTTTTTGTATGCTACTTTACTAACCCCTTGGTCGCAATATTTCAAAATCGTTTTCATGATTCTGGTGCAGGGAATTATGCTATTAGAAATTGTACTCTGCCTTATGAAAGCTGGCGTTGATTTCAGAAACGGTCGTTTGGAAATGTGTGGTGTGATCTCTCCTTGTTTCTCTATTATGGAAAATTTCAGCCTATTATCTTTATGTTATTTTTCCTTTTATGACTTTAATATGTTATCATAGTTTTAGCAATTATTGGATGAGGTTGAGTCGAATCCAATAATTGTTTTATTATTCATTCTGTGAGAGTAAGAAATAAAACAAACAAAAAGTAAAAACAAATGAAAATTCATTACATTATTAACTTTTGATAAAATTCCCACCAATTTGTAATTTCACACAAAACACCGCTGAAATATCTCGGGCTCCGTCCAATAACCTCTACAGATTACTGTTTCGGTTGAAAATAGTGCAGGCACCTACAAATACCTAAAATTATTTGTAGGCTTTTAGCCAATGAAAAATGAGAACACAGTCCAATGAATAATAATCATTTTAATGTTACTGCATAATATTTTTTAAAGATTTTAGTACTGGACATGTTAGATTTAACTTTTATTTAACGTAATCTTGAAAAGTATGAATTTCATTGTAACATGCACGACCCCTATCAATACCAGTGTCTATTTAAAGCTGACTGGGGCAATCCTGTTCAATTAAATAAACGTTTTTATCCAACTAAAAGTAGTATTACATTGACCCGGATTGGTAGACCAGACCCATAGCAAAAATTTGCATGTAATGATTGAAATTGAAGTTTATTATTCCACTACTGAGTAGCGCTTCGTTTCATGTAGGCCTATCAGGGATGAATCTAACCTGTTCCGGTAAGGGGTGCCAATCGCGCTTTGGCACTAATCTGATATGATTTGATAGAGAAACCTTTTGAATCAAGGGAATTAATTTTGAAGCCAGAATATTTACAATGAGAGATTATTAAATCTGTCACATCCCTTACGGATCAAATCGTTACGTGTTTATATAAGTTATACTATAAAGCAAATATCTTCTTCTATGTATCTTGAAAAATATAGCTTCCCAGTTCCCACACTTCTTCTATAATAAGTTTAGATCGTTTTAAACACAACCTGAGACAATATTGGTGTGACCATATTAATTATTCAATGTCAAATTTTAGGCCGTTCGACGTCTGTGCGATCAGGTGTTACAGCAAACCTTCAAAGCAGTTACTCTTAAAACTTTTCGCTGGGAAAAGGAGATTGAATTAAGTCGCTCTCTTCACGGCCGTCTACAATAATTACATGATAATTTTTCTTGGAATGCTTTGCCCTGATGTAAATTATGGCGAAGCGCAAAATACGGAGGGGGACATCACTCCTTAGAAGTGTGCGAGACAAAAAAAATTTGGCGATTTTTTTATTTTTGCGATTTTTCAAAAAAGATTTTCGTATGATTTTTTCCGAAGGTGCGTGTATACGCGATTTAGAATCAGGCGACTTGCTCCATAATCCCTATCAGCTAAAGGGAATATATTTATAAAGGTATAATTTACATACCGATTTCGATCAGACCACAAACTGCGATATTTTCGAGTTTCATCAATTTAGACTGAAAAAAAGCAAAATCCATATTATGAAAAACGTCACTAAATCATTATCACTATTTCCATGATGTAAGAACATTGAAATAAAAATTCCAGTGTTGAAAATTCCATCACTACACGTATAACTGGTTAAACTGCAATACACTCTAAAACACTCGGGTTAAAATTTTCAGCATGTGGTTATTTTATGTCACCTCCGACCATAGTGTGGTTAATGTACCTGGAATCTGGTTATATTTGACCAAGAGGTCCTTGTTAAAATAACCAGACTATGTTAGGTGGATAGATAACCAGGAACCTTTAGTTTATATTTATCCACCTGATTATTTAACTGACGTCCTGCTCAAATTAACTGGACTATAGGAGGAAGAAGGTTAAACTAACCTGCAAAATTTAACCAGGAAAATTTTAAACGAAGGGTTTCTAGACTGTATTTTTCCAAGAAAGAAGCAAAATCCACTCTTCAAACGAAGCCCTTCGTCAAAGAGTTGATATACGAAAGTGCGGCTGCAAGTCTTCTTGTCGAGAACGGACATAGTTTATAAGCTTTAGTTAA